GAAAAACACATCAGTCAGGGAAAAAGGTTACTGAACAATTCTGATGTTTTGTAATGCTACTGACTGAAAGCAAATTAGTATTAAGCTTAGGAACATGCAGAACTGAAGATAAGGATATGGCATTAGACAACTTGATGTCTCCCTTGCCAGAAATGGGAACAAGGGAACCATCAGCAATGGACACCGTATCTCTGCCAGAAGATAAGTGATAGGTAGTGAATAGTGATGGCAAGCCAGTCATATGGTCAGATGCACCTGAGTTTATTACCCAACAATGTTCAGTGTTACTTGGAGCTGAAGCATGATAAGCTGAGGCCCGAGTACCTGAATGAGCAAAAACTGATGTGGGAGCTGATGGTGATTGAGATGAGTGTGCTGAATTGCCAACTTCCTTTTCCAACTGAGTCAGGGCAGCCCGGACAGCAGCTAGGGTGTCTAGGGGTGTGCATTTTGTGCCTGATGAGGAGGCACAATCAGTATTAACAGCCATATTAGCATTACCCCTTTTGTTCCTGAGTTTTGCTGGGACTAAATGAGGGTGCAGCTTCCAACAGGTGTCTTTAGTATGCTTTGGTTTCTTGCAATGCTCACATACTAGATCTCGCTTGTCTTCCTTCTTTATATCCCTCTCCGTATCACCCCCGGACTTAGGTCTGACTGCTGCCAAGGCTGGTGGGAAGGGTTGATGCTGCATCATAACCTTTCTCCTAGTCTCTTCACTGTGCACTAAGGAGTAGGCTTGTGATAGGGTCACACTGTCTCTTGTCAGTAGTTGTTGTCTCACAATATCATACTCAAGATTCAGACCAGTTAGGAACTCAAAAACCCTATTAGTCTCAACCTGCTTCCTATGAGTCTGTGCATCATTCTGGCTTTCCCACTCAAGTGTTTCTAGGTGGTCAATTTCATGCCACAAAGATTTCAGTGTAGAGAAGTAAACCGAGACTAGTTTCTCTCCTTGCTTCAGGTTGTTAACCTCACATTTCAGTTCATAAGCCCTAGCAACATTAAGGGGTTGGGAGTAGGTTTCTTTCATGACATCCCAGATTTCCTTAGCTGTTTTCGCCCCCAAATAGTTCTAGATGATATGTGGCTTTATAGAGTTACACAGCCATGTCATAACCAAATAGTTCTCCTGAACCCATTTGGTATAGGTTTGGTCCTCCTTAGTTGGTTCTTTCACATCTCCCAACAAGTAGCTCAGCCCCTACCCCCAATGGCCATCATGGCCGATTGAGCCCATTCTAGGTAGTTTGGTCCATCAAACTTAACTGTTGTAATCTGAAAGGTATTCTCAGACATGTTACCAGAATTGCTAGTCCCAAAAACACCTTCCCCTTGACTCTTGAACTCCATTCTTGATCAAGAATTAATAAAAAAAAACCTTTTTAATTACTGTAATAGGAGAAACAGCACCCAAAC